CTCTCCTCTCTTGTAGGGTTTAAATAAGTCTGGTCGTGCATTTAGGCTGGACATAGTCAATTTTCAACCCTTTCTCTAATTTTCTTTAGTTTTGCAATTCAGATTTCAATAAATCTACACACAGTGTAGAGATGTTCGTTTATCTTCCTATGGTGGATTGTTGTTTATTATTGGTTAGTTGTACCGCTTCCCCTCAGGGAATCTTTGTGTGTTAGGCTTTATCAAAAAAAAGTAATAATCATCTTTTGCCCTATTATCAGATTATTGGTGAAAATTTGTGGCGGGTCGCAACAGTTGTTCAATTTTCAAATACATTCAAGTGATTCATGTGAAATTAAAATCATCCTCACGACTACAACAAGACGTTAGATCGTCTCTTCAAAAAAGTTATATATTACATCATTGTACGCGATTCATGCATACAGCGCAAGATCTATTCAACGAACGTAACTTTGATGAATGAAACTTTTGTTTAATTCTATTTTATGTATTTTTTAAATTTAGATTTCATTTGTAAATGTCGTATAATTATTACTAAAAAATTGATTAGCTCAAATAAAAATGCAACACTTCCTACATATGAAAATGTCATATTAAAGAGTACTTTTCTTTTTGCGCAATTACATTTGCACCCTTACCGAATAATACTACTTGTATTAGTTTATTCCAATCCTAATTTTATATAATTGCCATATCCTACCCCTTCCCTTCACCATGTTTAACATTCCACCACCAAGACATAGCCACACCTCAACCAGCACCACGCCACCCTGTGCAGGCATGCAGTTCGTTTTATGCGGCGAAAATGTCATGAGTTCAACATGAGCGACAAAAGACAATGGAATCGCTTTATTTGAAAAAATTAAAAACAGTGGAATTTGCTTTGTTATGAACATCATGAGTATATGAGAATCTTTGACACGTACAGTTGATAGGATCTTTACTAATCAATATACATACTGCCCATCAGAAGAGTCCTAAAATGCATAGACTACAACCAGGAATAAAGTGTAAAAGAAGATGAAGGAAGAAAACACTTCCTCAAGATATGGTCTAAAATAATCCAATCCACAACTAGAAAGACTTTAAACAAAGCTTGTCACCCTTGTAGTCTGTCTGTTAACTAGTACTCCCTCCATCCCTTATTTTTTGCCCCATTGTAATTTTATGGGTCAAACTTATAGAACTTTGACCATAAATTCCCATTAATCTATACGTAATAATATATTCATACGGGGTCTTGTTACAATCATCTTATTGTCTATTTTATTAATATCAAATTTTTATAATTTTTATGCGTATAGAAATTGAGATATATGCGTTTAAACACGTGTCTTAGAGACCGTGAAAAGTCAAATGGGACAAAAAATAAGGGACAGAAGAGTACTTCTTTAATTTCAAATTAGTTGACATAATTACTTTTATCACGCACGTTTTCCATCGTATTATCTAACTCTATAAAGCTGATATTTTGATCGAATATACACAATGAGGGAATTTCAATTTGATCCATCGGTCCATCTCACATGAACACATTTTTTCTAAATTATTATTCACAAAATCTAATCAATATAGAGCTTTTTCTGAAACCAAATCAATATAGAGCTTATGAAAACCTATAAAAAGTCAAATCATGTCAGTTATTTTTTTTAAAAAAAAAATAATAATAGATAGCAATAACTTGGGCGTAATTTTACAAAGAAAGTAAAATCAATAAGAGTTTAGTAATAACTAGATTAAAATCTCGTGCAATGCATAGTTGTTTAATATTTTTGACAATAATATTACAAAATATAAAGTATATAAAAGATATTTAGAAATATTTCATTTGAGTATATATGGAATCCGATTGTCAAATTGGAAAGAAAATATCATAAGGTATAAATAGTTTACTTATTGATTTTGCAAAAAGTAAAAAAAAAAATGCGGGAAATTTTTTCACAAATAATGATTTGCTTTTAGTATAGGTTAATAGATAGATGTCATATATACCATTCCCAAACAAATGTTTTCTTTGATTTGATCACAAGTTGCAATAGTCAATAGATAATACTTCGTAATAAATACATGAAGAAAATTAGACAATTGAGGTGAATAAGTTAGCATTACATGGGCCTTGATAAATGACTTTTGTTATGAACTTTTAATATTAATTGATTTTCATTAACAACTTCAATAGTTATAGCTAGGAATTTGCTTGCGATTTAAAATATTCCATAACTATTAGCCTAACTATTGGAGCTTGAAAAAGCAATTAGTTTGGTCAAAGTTAATTTGCTTAGAAAAAAACTTGCCAGATTAAAGTAAATTAAATAAAATACAAAAAATCAACAAAGGAAGTAGAATTTATTTAAAATTTTTAAATAGTTAGCCACTAGCTATCCATTGAAGCTGAAATTAATTAAAATGACAATTAGTTTAAAAACTTACGTGGCATAACAAGCTCATTATTGATTTGCTCTACCAAACCGTGCATTAAGGACACTGCGCACTCATCCTTGCATGAAAAAGAATAGAATCAAATAAACCTATGAAACATACATCAACATCTGAATTAAATAACAACGTGCAATCTTTCAAAAAAAAATAGCAACGTGCAAATAAAATCAGTACTAATGCTTAATGCCCCAGTCAAGTGACATACGTATTGTACATTTCTTAATACGAAGTATCTTTTTATCCCTTCTCATGGAGTCATGGTTATTGATTTGGCTGAAGATGTACTAATTGTCACTAACATATTGCAATAAAGTCAATTTTTCACTCATTTGTCTTACAATTACATCTTACCCTGTAAGATACCAATAGTTAAGTAGACGGTACAGTTATTGTGTAATACTCAATGTTTACAAACTTCAAATTTAAAGGTAATACTTCGTATATATTTCTGATTTACAAATAAACATATAAATGGTACATCATCAATAACTTAATACTAAAACAGATACCGAAAGTGACACATGTCACATCCTGGTGCTGTTTTTTCCCTCTAAAATTCCCCTTTCCTTTTTTTTTTTTTTGTGAATATTTGATACAATTATAATAATATCATTTCAAATTTTTTATATTATCTTTATGACAAAAATATTCCTTTTTATTTGGTGCTTATAATTCTTCCCTAAAATATTAATCTAACTCCTTTTTAATTATCTGATAGACGGAGTAACATTAGATTTTGCTAAATAAGTAATACTCCATAATAAAATTGATTCATATTATTGATATTAAAGAAATTACTTTAAAGCATCACTTTTATTTGTTAGACATATAATTTTTTTATAAAAAAGTTACAATTACTGTGCATGGCACGAAGCCTAAGCTAGTATAATATACACCAAAGTGACAAAGTATGATCTAATTAATTATAGTGCCAAAAAAGCAACAACGTAATTAATAATATTTCAATGATATTACATATCCTCGTATTAGCACACAAAAAAAACACCTTAATACCCCCCGAAAACTCCTCTATATACCGGATATCGATTAAGAAAACTCCTCATATTGGCCCAACCTGATTTTAGGGTTCCGGCAACTTCACATTGCTGCACGTTTCTTCTGAGGACTGAATCTTAGACTGCTAAACTTTGTCGGCATAAAATCACTGGAGAAATCTTATTAGAATCTTACCCTTTTTCAAATGGAAATGACCAAATAATCTAAAATATGTAATCTTTGGAAAATTTCTTTCTGCAAAAAATATACTTGTATATCATTGGGAGTCTTCTTTTTAAATTAAGGGTACTTTTTTATACGGATTTGTTACACTTTTTGTATACAAGCGTCATCTTTGTGCTTGAAAACATGAGAAATGTTGGCCCTAATATAATTGGTTCCTTGATCAAAGATTTGCTTTCCAGGGTGGATATTTCACTCTTACATGAGAACGACATAGGCTATGATATTCATATTAATTTGACTACCAATTTTAAGATCAACTTTTCACAATCATAGAATGCAAAATAAGCATAACATATTATTTTGAATTTACAAAAATTATTATTTTAGAACAATAAAAATATATATAAAGTTTTAGGATAAGATAAAACTCGAGTTTTTTCAATATAACCGCATAGAGTGTGTAAAAAACAAGATTTAATAGAGCAATATTTAATTAAAAAAAAAAGTTAATGTGATAGAGAGTATAGTATAATTAATTGAAAAAGTAGATTATACACAAATATTTTACAAATAGAAAGTTTTCAAATTAGTATGAGATAGTTAAATTTTTTTATTGTTTAAAGAGTTACAAGGGCGAAGGTGTGAATCAATCTCAAGATCTCCTGGAATTGGGAGGAAAGCTCTAACAACTTGAGCTATCCCTTACTTTCAAAGTTCAAATTATTGTTGAAGAATAAAGTATTCTAAAGGCGCGTAAAGAAAGTGAGGCTTTAAAATGATGCGAAAAAATTGTAAATATTTCTTTATTACCAAGTAAAATAAGATTTGAAAATGTTAATGAAAAAAAAAAAAGATGGCTGCTTTAAAAAAATAAATAAAATAAAATAAAACAAAATAAAAAACCTTTAATTGAAATTTTGGTTAGAGAATTGTGTGTGACTATAGAACAAGATTATCAATCTTCAATTCACCACCAAGCCAAATGTAGTACCATCTGTTTACAGGGTAGGGTCCGTCAATAAGGCAACTTGCGAGAATCTACAGGTTCTGGGAGCCACGGCAGGAATCTTATGCCCTTTTAACTATGGCTCGTGGGTCTTTACACCCTATTCACATTTATTTCAATAAGGCAACTCCGTACAATACGCCCGTTATATACGAACATAAACTTGCAAGCATCTTCACTAATCAAAAATTACACTGCATCACCTGCCCACTAATCAGTACAGTTATCACTATAACCACTATAATCCATTATGCACAGCAACGGATTACAATACCCATCTGACGGTAGGGAGTGTAGACACGAGTCAAAGACTAAAAATCATTACCTGAATACACCATTCTAACAACAATTACGCTAAAGAAGTCACAGCAGGTCAGGCAAAACTTCACTCTTCATCCAAGTCAGGATACAATGCAAGGAACCAGAACCTTAACAAGCTAACATGTTCACGAATTTTACCGTCTTGACATAATATATGAATGCAGTTATGAATTTATTGGTCTTGCAATTGCAGGAAGTAATAAATAAGCTTTCATCAGAGAATTTTCGCTTCAAGCAAATCTACAATCAGGGCAAGTTCTCTTCAGATCTAACTCTTCTCAATTTTGCAGGTGACACAAAGTAGAAACAATTTATTTACATTGTATAACCTGCATGAAAATTGTACAATGATGTTGACAACAGTCAACCTTCCTTTAAATAAACTACATTAGCTTCTCAATTTTACATCGCATGAGTAAGCAGATGACATTCAGCAAGCAGCTGGAAGATGTTTGAACAAACACCTGCAAACGGTGACCAAGTTGGCCTATCATCAACAACTAGCAATACACTGAAGCCAAAATATTCAAACAAATAGAAATAAATTAACATGCAGCACAATTTTTCTTCATCAGAGTGTCATGATTCATTGAAAATCATAATACAGGATCTAAGTGTATGAATGTGGTATACAGTGATAGTTGATGAGCAATCTTTTTAACTACAAAAATGATTGCTAGAGATCATGCACCTGACATTTTTTGTAGTTATGTTAATATTTCTTTATGCTACAAATTGAAATTATGCACATTTATTCTTACTAGTGAGTGCATGAGTGAGTGAAGGAGGCACCAAGGGCTTTGTATAGAAGCACGTAAAGTAGGGATAGTAACCTTTTAAAAGATAAATGTCCCAAGTTTTCCTTTAACCTCTTGTATCATCGGCCTTGTTAACAGTTAATCCGTAGGCATTCAGATTTCAGAATAAAAGGAAAGTGAACAAAATGATATTATCAAGCCAAAGAGAGATTTTTTCCCTTTCGTTTCATGAGCCTGTAGCACTCTTATACTACCTCTATTCTTATATATTCTTGATGTTTACTATTCTCACGGGAATTAAGGCAGTAGGAAAAAGAGTATTAATGAGGTGAGTGAGTGTAAGAAAAAATAGAGAAAGTAAAAGAGAGTTAAAAGATGGTTGAATGTAAGAAAAAGGTGGAAAAAGTAAGAGTGAGTGGAAAAATACAAGTATTGCGGGGTAAGAGGGGCAGGGTAGTACATGGAATTTGCCAAAATCCAAAAATAGAATAAAGTAAAACTGTAAGGAACTCTGAAAGAACAGACTAATGAGGAAAGTGTTAAAAACATTTAGGAAAAGAGGTAATACATTTTTAGATAAAAACAGAAGGGGAAATATTCCCTCAAAATTGTTATGGTCAAGAAAAACAAAAATTTGGGCACACTGAAATTTAAGTGAATATACAGAAAGGGACCAAGCAAACATACCTAGGAATTGCCATATATTAATAAATTATCTAAATAAGGATTGATAATTATCTAGTTCCAAAATATGCACAAAAGATGAAATAAACAAAGCACGGACTGATAAAGATAAATTAACAAAGATAAATAAAAGGAAAAATTCACAAGAATAATCCAACCTTTTACATGTCTTCTCAAAATAATCCCAACTATTGAAAATCTAGGAATAATCCAAACTTTAGGTAGGATCTTCTCAAAATAGTCCTAAAAAGCGGTTACCCTTTGAAAGGGTTTTTATCAGGTCAATTTTTTTTTTTTTCCTCAAAATAATTACTTACCCATACTCCAATAAGGGTTGTGGCATCACACCTGGCAAATAAAGCTTCAAAGGTTGGGCTGTTCACTCCTAATTTCCGCTATTACTGCAACAGGGGAGATCAACTAGTACTCCCTAATTCGATATTTCACTTACAAAAAATCTCTTTCCCATTAAAGTCATTAATTAGTGTTATGTAGAGGGGATAAATCATTGCTTTTGTGTGGTGGGTAATTAAAGAAAAGTGGTAATTTGAAATTAATTAAAACACAATCTGATTCAAACACTAATTTGTGGGGCTTTTATTTTAAATAAATTTTTACCTTAATTTCAGAATTCTAACAACAATTCATGACATTTATTGTGCATTAGTGTGCTTACAGGCCATAACAAACACCCATGAAACTTCAATCTACAATTTGGAAGCACAATTGAATGGGTGTTGTACTGTTGTGGTGGCACTTATAGGTTAAAATTCGGAACCGATTCAATGATGATGACCCTGACGAGCCGAATTTAGTTTCAACGTGGCATGTTAACAGGGGAAGGGAAGGAGAATACATGGAAATAATTTTTTTTTTTTTTAATTAATGGATCGTGGTATGTTTTAGGGGCAGGGAGAATGGTTAATGGGGGTGTTTGTTCTGGTTGATGTTATCTAAGAGCAAATACAAGAAAATTAATAACCTTACCAACTGTTAATGCCACATAAGGAAAATCCACTGCCTATAGCAGGTCAAAAACAACATAGGACTATTTTGAGAAGATCCTGCCTAAAGTTTGGATTATTCCTAGGTTTTCACTAGTTAGGATTATTTTGAGAAGACATGTAAAAGGTTGGATTATTCTTGTGAATTTTTCCTAAATAAAATTGTCATACCACAAGGCTCGAAACTGCATGTTTGCAAAAACTAGTTCACGTTGCGGTTGAGCAGCCCTTGGAATGAGAGGTAAAGATCTTTGTTATCTGTACCTAGTATTTCTTCTGCTTTCCGTAAAGTTTCCTGATATGAATAAGAACACAGAAGTGATTTGTCTGCTTTAATAAAAAGGAAAATGGCTGTTCCTATCTCTATGCTTGTGTCAAAGAAATTTCACAAACACCAAGTCCGAATTGCCTAAACATCATGCTCAAAAAGAAATAAAACAATAACATTTTCTGATTATCTTTCTTCCTTGATTCTTCTTTTACTGACTTCTATAGAAGAAGAGAGGGGGAAAAAAAATCAAAGGCTCATAGCTCATATAGCTTGTCTCCTTTCACTAAAAAGGGCTGACAAATTATCTTGACTAAATAAACAGTTACAGGAAACTAGAAGCTCACAATTACAGGATCAGATTTAGCTCATGTTAAGTACAACTAAAATTTGTTAAACATGTCTTACCACTCTACAAATTTACTAGATAGAACCAGCCACACTAAGGGTAATGCTTCTTGAAATAAAGCTAATATTACCTCTCGTGATTGCTTGTGATCATTTAGCTGCTTAATATTCGCCAGGAAAGCACTAAATTGCTCATATGACAATCGGCTCCTGATACATAAGAAAATTTAGATGTAACACTTTCATAAAACACAGTAAATTATTGTTTTAAATAGAAAACAGAACTCACCGAGCCTGCCGGAAAAACTCCTTCCCATCAATTCTAGGGGTTCGACCTACATTGTTAAGAGCGATTTCAAAATGAGTAAACAAAATAATAGCACAAACCGTAGATGAATACAGAAGTTATTCTCTCATGTAAGCAACACAACACCACTGACCACAAAGAGACAAGCTAGCAATAAGAATGGTCAGATATACAACAATGAACACAACTCAAATGTATAGAGATGGAAACAGAACTAGAGTGGACAAATTGCGCAGATACAGTTCTATGGTCATTCAGCAAACTAAATTTTCAGAAGACAGGATATATTGCTAAAAAAAATTGCAGTAGTATCCAAAAAAAACAAGAAACCTTTGAGCATTGGTAACTTGACACAGCTATATGAACCATAAATTCTGGCAGAATTCTCCCTAAAATTGGAATTATTACGTAGATTGGCTTTATAGATAGATACAAATCAATCAAAATCATAGGTAAGAAAATCCCATACTTGGCAAAGCCCGAGCACGAGGTGGTGAGTTTGCCGCTGATGATTGCTGACTTGACGGATACCATGATGACAATGAAGTTCGCCCATCATATTGCATTTTAGTAGGAGTTGTTGCCCCAGAGTTTTTCTGAGGAGACCCAACAGCGGAATAAGATCTGGGGGAACCAGTAGCCGAAATAACTTTGGGTGTTCCAGTAGGAGTCAGCCGAGGGGTGATCTGATAAGGAGTCAATGAAAATCTTTGACCAGTTTGTTTCACAGCTACAGAACCAAAAAAAGAAGTCATTACGAGAGAGATGCTAAAGCATGCGGCCAAATGAGAGTCCAAAGATAAAATCCGAAAAATAGAAGCAACATACATTCATTGCTTGAGTATCTGGATTCAGTGGTGCCATTATAAGAATAGTGTCTTGTGTGGCCATTAGCACCGTCAGCTTCAGGCAGTAGTTATATTTAGAAATACATAAGTTCCTCATAAGAAGATATCACATTCATATCACATTACCAGATCTCATCAAATTAATATGAACTTAACAAGAAAATTATGAGCTGAATAGAATACCTTTGTCTGGATAGGATCTTGGAATTGACTGATCACAGGTCCCGATATCAACAGTTTCAGTCTGTCATTCATAAAACATATACTCATTCATTGCTACAGTTAATGAAGATCACAAAACAAGACTACACATTTTGGTGATATCAATCAAGCACAATTTGGGAATTCAGACAGATCCAACTTCCATAATGATTAAAAGGAAAAAAAAAAAAAAACACTTACAGAAGAATCTTCACTAAGTGATTGCATTAGTTGTCTCTTGAATGTCTCCAGCTGCCATGTAAGGGAAGGACTTAGATATGGACAGATGAAATCCACTAAGCACAATTCTAAGGTTGAACCAATTATTGATATATCATTCTCAAACCAAATGAAATAAGGAGCAGCAGATGTTGAATTACATGTAGTGCATGATGTTCTGGTTCAACAGCCCATATGATGAAAACATGATGCCAAACGCCTCATTAAATAGGAGCTTAAAATATTGTTCTCTTACATATAGATCAGAGACTGAAATTGAGGTCATACATTAACAAACTCCTAATAATTAACAAGGAAGGCTGCACTTAGTTTCCTTCCAATCTATGCCTGACCTTGAAAATCGAAATTTGGGGAAAACACTCATCATTGTAGCATTAGGGTCATTTTTGCTAATTTATTCTCTCTTTTTTTCACCTTTTTGTGAAATTATTATTACTTTGTTAGTTTCTATAACCATCAATATCAATTAATTTTACTAATATTTTGATTTTCTATGTTTAAATGAATACATGTCTTTGATAAATACACATTTCTTTATTATATAAATTTCTATTTGATGTATGTTCCAATGTTGAATTTCAATTTCTGCTTCTATTTTGTTGTTACTAATGGTAATGAGGTTAATCATCCAGATTCTCAGAGCATAGTTAGTCGGATCCAAACTCAAACTTGAACTCGGATATTGGATTAGTTTATTGATCAATTTAGGTTAAGATACTATCAAGTCTAGCCTGAATCCGACCCGTAGGCCGTAGCTGTTCCTAAATACAGCAAAAGGACAAGGTATCTTCACAAAGTAGCCAAAAAGACTACTACAAGTTAATCCAATTCCTTTGAATTTCTTACACACAAAGATGCAAACAAACTACATGTTAATCCAATTCCTTTTAATCACTAACTCCACAAAAACAAAATATAGTCTGACCATATACTCTACAAGATTTCCATCACAGTATTACTTTAACATGTCTTCTTCTCCTAAGACATTCCAAACACCACATTCTGAATTAGCAATCAACCAATAATATTCAAAGGACAAACCATTTCTCTTTTTTCTAGATATAATAGCCTACTCCAGTGAAGCTAGCTTGTAGTTTATACATAGTTTCTTTTCCAATGTATCTTTAGCCACTATGAATACAATTTGGCTTCACTCTCTCTTCCCCACAAACAATTAAATAATTATGTTCATATGTTGCCATATGAACCCCTTTGACAAGCTAGTTGGTATCAAGTACATTCAAGCTACAAGTGAAAATCTATTGTAAGATGTAAGTTTATATTGGTAGTTTTGGCAAGATTTTGTAAAGTTATAAGTTCAAGGGTCTATGGGGAGGCTAGTCAATAAAAAAATAAAAACCAAGCTAGCCTAGACCCCAAGGGTATATCTCAATGGCAATTCATGAAACAATATTGATAGTATTTTAGCTAACATATCCCCATCCCCCCTCCCCCCTCTCTCCCCCTCAAGCTTCACTATCCCACACTCTCTTAACCAGTTAACCGTCTTACGAATGGCAAATGATCCCTCTTTCCTCCTATTCTAATTTCTTCATAAATTTCTTATAGTAAACATAAAGGACATCAACACTCCACATATTCAAACAAAAATTCTTGCAAACCATGATTAAGTAGCAATTAATTAACCAATGGAAAAAAAAAAATGCGCATATCCATACAATACACTAAAGAAAAACCACTCTATAAAGTTTCCCTTCCAAAATTCCCTCCTTGAAACATCAAGAATTAAAATCTACATTGGAGATTTATGCAATGGTTGTACTTTTTCAAGGGGTATGAGATGAGCCCCACGATACCCATGGGTAGGGGGGCAATGAGCATCAAACCCAAGACAAAGCCGAAGTAACCGAAGCTAATACATCCTTGCATTTACATCACTGGTAGATTTTAGTTAATTAATGCTCAAATTATTAACAAATGCATTAGAAATTATAGCTTGATATAAAGATAACCAATTTTTCCATAAATTAATTAAATGCACCAAAAATTACACATTGACTCGTGAAGTAGGATGTAACCAAGTTCAATTGGAATTTAGAGTGAAAAGTTCCAAAAATAAATGATAGACAACAATTTTTCTGCCCCATCGAACATACTTCGTATATTACAGAAATAATTAAAACTCACAATTCTACCAATTTCAAATTCCAAATGAGGTAGAAATTCAAACCTTTCCCAAGTCCCGGTTCAATTTCTTCACAGTCGCCGACAACGAATCTCTCTCCTGTACTAATTTCATCTTCAAACAACCAAATATAAACCAAAATCAAGACCTATATCAAACTACAAAGAAAAAAAAAACCCCAAAAATCAGAGGAGAATATTCATACATTTTCATCAAGGACAAGTTTCAACCGAGAATCAGCTTCCTGAAAAACTTGCTGAAGGCGAGAAGCTTTCTCCTCAAGTTCAAAAATATGGCGGTCTTGATCAGAAACCTTCTTCTTAAGTCGACTAGTCTCAGACTCAAGATTCGAAACTCGAGAAGCAATCGCCATTGAAGTAATTTTGCGAGCTAAATCAAGCTGGTCGTAAGGATCCGTCGGAATGACTGCTAAAACTTCGTCAGGTAGGTGAAAATCCGGCGCCTCCATTGCTCCGGCGTTCAGCAAAACCCTAGAAATTGGGAGGAAATCGAGAGGAGAGAGAAAGTGGGTGAGAAAATTGGGAAAATGGAGTGTGACGATAGCAGAAGAAACAAGTGACGTTTGGGTAATGGATTCTGGATTGTTTGCTTGTGTTTGGGTTATAGTGGGGGCGATGCTTAAGGAGTCAACTGCAATTTGAGGGGTATTTTTGTCAGATTCTGGACAAAGTTTTTAAGGGTTTAAATTTTGAGTATTTCCCTCCAATTATTGTTTTGATTTGGGGGTGGGGAAAGAGGGTGCTAATTAATTATTGTTTGTCACCATTTTTGAAATTTATTATTCCGTACTTCCTTTATTGTTATATAAGGAGTACATCAATGATTCATTAGCAATTTAGCATGGCTCATATTGGGTTGTTCAGTATTCCTTAGTTTAAGATAGAATCGGATTGGACTGCAACAAATAAAATCGTACCAGGCCAAAAATCAAAATTGTAAGACCTTACAAGTTTTGCTTCAATTGGAATGATAAAGTTGGTTTAAAACTCATATCTAGGGTTGTGCACCGATTCAGGACCGGACCAAACCAAAACCCGAATTTTAGAAAAACTAAGACCGAAGACCGGACCTATCACATTCGGTCCATGACCAGACCAACCCGATCGGCTCGGTCTGAGCCCTGGACCAAATAGATTTCTTAATGATGATGAATAGTTTCTAAACTAGACTTGTTATTAGAGCACTTACAGCAGTGAGCAAAAATTTTGCCCACGAGCTAAATGTTGAGCAAAATATATAAAATCGTATTGAAAGCAATGAGCAAAAAAAAATTTGCCCGTGAGCAACTCTCAATTTGCTCAAGAGATGGGCAAATTTGCTGATGAATAGTGCACGTGGGACCCATTCAGAAGAACCAACAAAAATCTGCCACATGTCCAAGCAAAATCAAAATAAAAAAATAAAAAAAAGGACAAATTGTTTGTTGACACTTGTCCCAGCAAAATCAGAAGAAAAAAAACAACCAACCACAAGCCGCCACGTGGCTGGCGAAAATCAGAAGAAAAAAAATAAAGAGAACGCTGACTGGGCGCGTCAGGGGAACCAATCCAATGTCGCCACGCGTCCCAGTCAGATTAAATAACCAATCAGATTTTTCTATCCGTTTTGCAACGGCTATTTTATTTAAAATGATTTCCGTGCTTTATAAAATTACAAATAAATAAATAAATAAATTTCCAACGGTGATAAAATATTTTTCTCTACAAATAGACATCCATTTTTATATTTTTTGGTATAATTTCCGAAAACACAAAAATCCTCTATAATTTGTAATTTTCCAATTCTTCCTAAATTAATATTATTGTTGTTAAAAGCCTAAATTCAGGTATGTAAAAAAAATTTCAATATAATTTTTAGTTATTAAATATTATAGCTAATAATTTGTTGTGTTATAATATTTTTGTTTTGCTTAATAATATATTTTGGAACAAAAAAATTTTATGGTTGTGTTGTTAAACTTTGTTGTTGTTATTGTTATTTTCCAAATGTACCTAAATTTTTTTTTTAAAATATATGTTGTAGAAATTAATTTCTTGTTTAAATATTGTTATTTTGAGCATAATTACATATGTAGAAAAAAAAAACATTTCATTATATGGTTAATTATTTTAAAATATGTTGATGTAATGCAGATAAATTTCAAATGGATCCGAGCAACCCAAATTTCCGTCAACATTTTTCTGATTTAAGTGATGATTTCCTAACCAATCCCCAATTTCAAATGTTCTTGCAAAGATTAGGAAATACGTCTTTGCATCCTCCTTCACAACATCAAACACCCACTGAATTCCTGTACGAAAACAATGATGAAGAAGAACGTACACCTCCAACTTATCACGGGAGCAACTCCCAATTCGTTGACAGTGAAGAGGAAAACGTACCAGACATGCCTCAATACCCTCCACAAGTTCCCACAATACAATCCAACCAGGTTGCTGCACGAGCATATCGTGTTTGGTATGTTGCAGAAGATGAAGTTCTAATTGGGTTGTACCTACAAATAAGCGAAAGATGCTATTGTAGGTACGAACCAAAAAGCATCTGACCTATCACTACTACAAAAACATGAAAAGAAACCCCCTAAAATTGGCCTAAGAAACCTCAATAGAGGGGGTCTTAAGCTCAGTGGTCTCTTAAGTTAAGAAACCACCTTTTTTTAGGGGGTTTATTTGCTCAACTTAAGAAATCCCTTTTTGGAAGAAGGGGTTTCTTAAATGCTTCTGAACTGATTTAATAAAAGAATTAAAGGAACCCCTTTTCCAGAAAAGGGGTTTCTTATATTATACTTAAGAAACCACTTTCTAAGAAGGGGGTGTCTTTGTTATGTTCGTGATTAAAAAAAAATTATACTATAACTATCAAATACATACTGTTTCGTATATATGATGGTTATACTATAATTAAATTATACAGTAATTCTCTATTTCATGCCCTTTCGTATGAACCATTCAGTTAAAATCCACATGATTAATATTACAATGTCAAACAAAAAATTTCATATACTTAGACATTATTGGTATATGATTTACTATAAAATTATACATATAATCAAAATTTTTACTATAACTAATTATCTAAAACCTCTATATAAATTACAATTGTCTCCAAACAAAAATTGAAATACTTCCATCGTGCTGTTAGATTCTTCGAATGCTTAATTCCTTTGTTGAATATTAGTTTCCACCTACAAAACACAAAAAATAAACAAATTAATAAATTAAAGGTTAAAAGAACAAAGAAATAAAATACGAACTTATATTAATTAAAAAATTTGGAATGGAATATCAAATACAAGATATAGAGAGTAGTAGAGTAGTATGAACAGCTTTGAAAAATATAAAAAGTGAAAATTAGGCTCAAACTAAAAATTGAAAATAAATGTTAAAAACAAAATTAAATAATCTCAATACAAAATTGAAAAGCAGATTAAATCCGAATATATATTAAAGTAGAATATAAAAAAACGAAAATAAACAATTGTTTCGGGGTTTTCTGATGTCCTGCGGGAGAGTTACAATTCCGAGACTGGAACCGGACGCCTGTACCTGCAAAATAACGGAGACTCCTGAGAGCTCCGCCTCCAACGGTCAAGTTAGTACCTGATTAAGGAGTAGTCAATACAGAAATTAAAGTAATGAGATCTCTCTAGGTGAGAGTGCTTAGTGTTGGTAATCTGCGTCGTTAGCGAGATTAGCCGGTTGTTGATGTTCCGTAATAACTCTGTTCTTCTCTGCTTGATTACTTTTTTTTTCACCCTTAATTAATGAGGATTAATTGAGTATTTATAGCCTTGAGAAGCGTGCCACTCTCTAGGTTTAAGGTAAACCTAGGGCTGATCGGGCCTCTAGACTGAATTGGGCCTTGATGGCCGGTTTTCCCATTTGGCATGGGTGGACACGTGGCGTGTCTCAATTGGTCCGTAGAGGACGTATCTGTGATTGACACGTGGCAGGCTCCTGTTGGCCTTCGTGAAGGACACGTGGCGGAACCTGGTTGGTCCACTCGTTAGACGGTGATTGGTGGATAAAAATCCCCTAATCATTTGCCCCTCACAGGTGGCACGTGACTGGTCACGTGTCGCCTGTGACAGGTGTCGCACGGTGACAGGCGACGGCCTGTTACAGGTGTCTCCTTGCAAACGGCCGAGAGATTTTCCCGCCCACATTTTGAATTTGGAAGCGACCTTTCGCCTTCTCACCTTGCCTATATAAGGAAGTGCTGACTTCGGTCATTTTCACATTTGAGAACTTTGCGAGAACATTCGGACCCCTGAACTTGCTCTGACACTTCGGACCTTTTCTGCCTACCGCCTGTTCTGACAAGCCGACTGACCCGAACTTCCAGGACTTCATCAACCGTCACTCGTTCAGGTAACTCAGTTCTCTTACTCTTAATTTTCTTTTTATTTTTTGAAATGGCACCACGGAAGCACACGACACGACCTAAGTTAGTGATCAGCCGGTCACCGGGGACGGCTGAATCTAGGACTAGGAGTGCCGCCTGCCCTTTTCTGGACCCATCTTTGCTCTTTATACAAAGTCCGACTGTATCTGTGTCTATGCAGAACGTGATGGCCAGAACGAAACAGACTGCTATGATATCAAACTCAGACGGCTCCTCCCAAAGGGTGCTCCTTAGTGAAACATCTGACCAGGCGCCAGATGTAGAATTGAAACGAGGCGACTGTCAAGCCGACAGTTCTGAGAGAGGGGCCAAGGTGGTCCCTTCTCATCTTACCGTTGACATGTCTAATTTCCCTCCTGCTCCTTCTAAGGGAGAGGAGGCGGGCCCCTCTAGGAGAGGGGAGGAGTCGTCCTCTTCGGACTCGTCAGAGGACGAGTCCGAGTCCAGCTCCTCTGGCCACAGTTCTCCTGGCTCAGAAGAAAAACATAGCCGCCTACAAGAGGCGAGACGTTCTCATGCAGTTGAGAAGGGAGACAATTGGGCGGAGCCGTCCGCCTCTTCCAGAGAGGAAAACGCCCCCTACTACTGCAGGGTACCCCGGGGCCGGATCGCAACCATGCAAGACAACGTGGCGAGCTTTATTGCTAACCACAAAATGGGCCCGGAATTTTTACTGTTCGTGCCGGATCCAGAAGACACTGTCGTCTGGCCGGCTGGTACCAGCTATGGTGACGGCTGCTTTGGCTGTTATGTGGCGGCCATCAAAGCTGGACTGCGCTTCCCATTACATCCGGCTGTTCATCGGATTTTAGATGGGTATGATCTGGGGTTATGGCAGTTAGCCCCCAAATCTTGGGTAAACGTACTCGGCTATGTGGCCGGGTGCGAAATGAACGGGGTGGTGCCAAGCTTTGAGGCTTTCGCCCACATGAACTATCTCAGCCGGACCCCTAAGTCGGGAGGTACCGGCTGGTATCAATTAACAAGCCATAGGGGCTACCTCATGACGAGAGGTAAGGCGAACAAATGGAAGGATTGGCGGAACACCTTCCTTATTATCGAGGGTTCAGACACGGAGCTGAACAAACGCTTTAACAAGTGGAATAGGGATTCGCCTCTTCTCGCAGGCGGCCGCAGCATGCCGCCTGTTCCCCCAAAGGCTAAAAGAGAGATCCTAGACAAAGGACTCTTCAAAGT